CACAACCACACTATCGTGAGTCGAATCCAGGCTTTTCAGTCTTGTAATCAAACTTTTAACGTTTAGACCATTGAGCTAGGATCTGATTATGTACAAGTTTGAATTAAGTCAATACAAGACACTCAAAGACCATCTTCCGGATCCCAGATCATTAATCTAGAAGTTAGGGATTCATTAAGGAGACTGGAATGTGTGAGTTAGATAGCGGATTGTGGGGACCGTTGATGCACACATCCGAGGAGAACTGTATCAGGATGAAAAAATGTCCAGTGGTCCACAATTTTATATAGTTACCTTATAAAACCTAAAAATCTCCGAAAGTTCTATACTGAAGATATTTTTTTTGTTGATTTCATGTGAAAAATGTTTTCTGACTGCTTTTTTCTTATTCTCAGACACATATTTGTTGAACTGTGATACTTTTTGAGAGAGATGAAAGAATACATAATAAAAGTGTAGCTGTCAAAACTATCTATTCGTGCATTTATTAAATAATTGACTTATGATATTTCTGGACGCTAATAATTGTAAACCCTTATTTAAAATAATAATTTTTAATTTATCTTTAGCCGTTCATAAATTACAGCTAATTAGTTATGTACATATTAGTGCGTAGATAGTGGAGATTTTCGAACATCAACGAGAACAAGAATTCATTTGAGTTAGATAAACACTGAATAGTAGTAAGTGTCGGACACAGCTTTCATCCAAGTATGCGACTTATCGTCGATAAGCATTCATCAACTCACCGCGAATGAAGTCAAGACGATTAGTCACAAGCAACAGTATAGCGACTTAACTGAAGTTAAACATATAAACTACTGATTGATGACTCACAGGTTCAAAGTTTGAGATATGAAGCAACTGGTTTCGATTTCTTGTAGGTTTGTTGATGCCTATTCCCGGCAGGTCTCATACTAGGACGGAACAGCTATCCAGTAATTCCTGGTATTCAATGGTTATCTAACTCAGGTCTGTTTATGGTTTTAATTGTGGACCTGTTACTTAGTTTTCAAATGCAAACATCGTTGTTATGAACGGATCTCTATTTATTTATTTATTATTCACTGTAGTTTTTCATTTCATGTCTATAAACTTGTGAGTTTTTGAGTTAAAATAGCAGAAAACGCAACTGCCATTTTTTCTTCCTTCCATATTGAAGAGCGAAGCACAGAAGAAATCTGTGTTCGCCAATGGGCTGTAGCATACATCTTAGATGTGTTTTAAGCACTTTTAGGTAAAATATTTTGGAAAATCTATTTGTTAGGTATGTGGAAACAATATTTACATGATTTCGACATCAACTTTTCAAATACTAGGTTCATGTTACATATACTACTCAAACAATACAGCGCTTAAATAAAAATACTCATTAGCTAAACTGCTAGCATGCTACTTTGTAGACAAGCCTAAAGATATTGAATCAACTTCAATATGTAGTAAAGTTTAGTTTCATACAGAATAGATAGGAAGTAAACATATGTCTTCTGAAATGTAGTTATAGGCGCTCCTGCTTTATTTCATATCTCTTCAACAAATCTATTAGCTGACTTTAAAATGTAACTTAAAGTTACCGATGTATTGTTATTTAAGTTTTATACCATGCTGTAAGAAGAGGTCTTTCTGTGATAACAAATACATAAAACGTCTAATTATTGTGAGTTGTTGACAAGCAACCCTTAAATATTTAATCCCTATCAAAAGAGAACACAATCTCATTCAATTTTATGTAACTGTCTAAGAAATATTTTATATCCCGAAGCGATTTATGAATGATAAATATTCAAGATTCCTCGTGTATCATTGCTCTGATCGATAATTCACTCCCCTATGATTGGTGCAGATCATCACGTTATAAATTAACTGGGCATCCAAACAGGCATAATCGATATAACCAAATGTTTATCTAATATTTAATAGATTGGATAAATCTTTTTATGGGTACACAAAAATATCTTTACCATAGTTGCTGAAATGATGAATATATGGTAATGAAGGTAGGTAACAAAAACAATTCAAAACTGTGCTTCTGAAGTCTTTTACTTCAATGTCAATATCGAAAATATGCATCTATTAGGTAAATTTTGAAAATACTTGTATCAAGAGAGCATTAACGTCAATCGATTCCACTTTGTATTTTGTAGAAGACTTGTGTGAGTATACCGTTTGTTTTCTTTTACATTTTAGCAACCATCCTGCAATCAATTTCGATTATGATTAATTTTGTTTAAGCCTCTTTATTAACTTACTTAACAGACATCGTCATTTGGATATTAACAGTTAGCGTATTCTTTGTACTGTTATGACCACTAGAGCACATGGCACTCCAGAGAAAATGTTGATTGTTTAAGTATCATTCGATGACTCATACTCCTCCTCATATATATGTATGCACTCAAATCCTATAATCAGCTTTTGTTTTGTTTTACTGTGCCCTTATAAAATTTGACTATAAATTGCCTATGTAATCGCTTGCTACTCGCTCACTCGCTGATATTCGCTCAGGTGCTGGTAGCTCTCTGGCTTGAGTTATTTGACAATAAACTGTCGTTGCTGCTTCTCTTTGCCTTCTGATTTTATGCACCGTCAAGATTGGAATTACAACGGTTATCAAGGTGAACGATTAACGAAGCACGGCACTACGACATAAATTAATTTATCTCGATTGACATTTTTCGATCGAAATCTTATCTGAAATTAAACAACACATCAGTCCCAATGAGCCCTCAAATGCCGAAAGTGGGGAGAGCCCGCCTTCCCTCTCGAAATGCTCTCATATGGCCACGCGTATATAGCCTCTACCAGGAAAGTCCTACTTACTGCCTTCTCTTGGCGGAGGTGTTGTTCACGAAATTGAGAGAACGGAAGCAAATATCCGGCGTTTTAACCGGGTTAGTGGACATGGAAAGTCCACCTAGGGGAGTTGCAAAACTCTGATTACCAACCAATGGTGCACATGAGCTCAAGTATTCTGAGGGAACAAATGGCGTATGAACCAATCGTTGGTCACCGGCTACCATGGGACTGCATCTCCTTACGATGCTCCACTGCCTTATGGATCAGATCTTTCGGTCAAATGCTCCGGGTGTGGCCCCCTAAGAAAACCACCTGTTTCAGTTTAAGCACCTTGGCAGTATCACAGCTCTCACACAAATCAAATAAGATTTGTATGACGAAAATGTATTTGGTGCCCCTTTCTACGAATATTTATGTGTTTAAATAAAATATAAAAAAAAAAGGAATGATTCTTAGTAAAATTTTTTCGTTTAATAATTGTCCTGTTTTTTAATATCGTTTCCATCAATTCATTTTACATATGATATTAGAAATGATTACAATCCAAATCAATTATTTCCGTTATTGCATTTGTGACTAAATATCATTATTATTATTATTATTATTATTATTATTATTATTATTATTAATGTTACCAATACTATTATGTTCATCATCTATTGGTAACATTTACTTAAAAAAGTGAACATTGGAAATTTTGCATTCATATCTTGACAATGAATACTTTCAAAGTAATAACCATGTTTTCTAAAAAAAAAAACCCAATGGAAATAGACTTCAGATAATGATGAATGTTTCATCAGGTCTAACTGACAATATTCAATCTATAGTTAGTTTCTTATGTTAGTCAGTATATATATGTCGAAAAAGTTCTTTTTTTTTGTGTAAAAATTCAGGTGAACTACACTGTATCTGGCAGGATTTTTTTGATTTAATTTTTCAGTAATTTTTTTTCCAGTAGCTTGGCGCCTATTATTTGTAAGACATTAGGTTACTGGGTAATTATTTTTATTGCAGAATATCATATGCGCAGATTAGATAAACATTTAAGTGATGTAACAAATTTCATCAGAACTATATGATGTATTAGCTTAGTTTATAAAGGTCAAATTAGACCAATTAGAATATAAGAAATAACAAAGATAATGGAGAAAAATGATCTAAATAACACTACAATAGATATGTAGATGGCGTCGAGTTTTGATGGACTATGATCACCAATACAATGAGATTATTCGCCCATAAAACGACTTGGTTCCTTTGATAACTCGCAAACCAGAAGACTGCAACTGGTCTAGATAGAGTATATTTATTGGCAATCTCGTGGTATCGAATGAACACCAATGCGTACCAAAGATTACAGGCAATAAGAGCGGAGTGTAAGAAAGTTAGAACCAACAAGATGGAGAGAGGAACGAGAAGTGACTTTGATACAGTTAAACAAGTACAGTAAAACAATCGCTGGTACAATTTGTTATAATAATAATTGTTTCTATTATACCAATCGCGTTCTTGTCGAAAAAAGCAGGTCACTACATATATTAATTCAATATTATCAGGATTGGTTTGGAGTAAGTACAAACTATATTTATACATATAGCAGGTGGAAGTCAAACATACATAAGAGCTAAGGTTTCATTAAACTTAAGCAACTCTTATACAGAAACTAAAAAAGTCTGAGATGAGATCAATTTTATGATTAATTCCAACTAGATGCTTAGTAATGTAAGATGTTAAACCGAATGAACTTGTAAATCACGATTAATGATTCATGTATATATGTGTTCAGACCTATTTCAGATATTAACATAACATCAGAGGGGGTTTTGTGAAGATTTTAGTAATTTTATATAGTTGAGGTCATGAGTCAATTGAACATAGACCACCATGGAAAACCTGGAAGCACTGGATGGCCGTTTCGTCCTATTGTGGGACTCCTCAGCAGTGCACATCCACGATCCCGCCTCACGAGATTCGAACCCACAATAGGACGAAAAAGCCGTCCAGTGCTTAAGGTTTTCCATGGTGGTCTATACTTAATTGACTCATGATCTCAACTATATAAAATTTACATAATAAACAAAGTCCTATTTTTAAGTGCTCTGATAAAGAATGGTCATTTGCTTCTTGGACATACTACCATTAATGTTATGGAGAAAACAAATCTATAATTCAGGGATTAGTTGTATTTTTTGGTTAAGTTGGTTAATTTATTGATTTTACAATATATATACACACAATAGATTATTGATTAACTACTAGCCAAATTCATTTAAATTTATTGATTAACCGGACTTTTAAAATAATACATCATCATTATTATTGTGGACATCATTTCATTAATGATTGGTCAATAAATTAACCTTCTTCTATAGTCTTATTTCCTTATTTATGTCGGTATAATAGTCTTGTTCTATTGTAACAAGCAGCGGTTATCAGTTTCTCGGATGTCATAGTAAATAATCTTGTCGGTAACAGTAATTAATGACAGATATTGTTACTATCACCAAAAAGAAAATATATATGAAAATATAAGTAAGTCTTTTATTCTATAATACAATTAAATGCAAGGGATTCAATTTGAGACAGATTTAAATGTGAATTCTGTTTTGAGACGTGTAAAATTTCATTCTCACAGTTTTAATTTTTATCCTATTTTGATATAGTAAAGTTATCTTTCAATTTACTTCAATGTAAAAAATGTATGTGTATTCCCTAAGTTTAAGTTTGTATCCTAATGAATTTTGAATTAAAACTAGTGTAGTAAGTAAAGATGGATAGTGGCTAGCAGTGGAATCCAGGATGCGCGTTTCGTCCTATTTGGGACTGGTCAGCTGGGTGTACCAGCATTTCAGAGTTGATGTTCACTCCGAGACTCGAACCCAGTAGTTTTCGCTTCAAACGCCATCGTGTTATCCACTCAGCTACATATGTCAATTAGAGACTGACCAGTTGCAGTCCTAAACATCAATGGGAAGATTCAAACAAACAATACTAATTGAATTTAAACTTCACCCCATTGCACAAGCAAGTGGCTATCAGGATTCAGTAGCTGAGTGAATAACGCGATGGCATTTGAAGTGAAAGGTACTGGGTTCGAGTCCCACAGTGAACATCAACTCTAACTCTGAGATGCAGGTACATTCAGCTGTTGAGTCTCAAATAGGACGAAACGCTCGTCTTGGATTCCACTGCTAGCCACTATCCATCTTTGCTTACAATGCTTGTAAATTAAGGCAATATCGAGGCAATACGCACAGTATGCACATATGGGAATAAGAGACTGATCAATTGCAGTCCTAAACATCTATAGAAAGATTCAAACAAACAATACTAAGTGAATTTAATGTAGTAGGTTTTCTTATTAAAAACATTTCATATATTTAGTAAAACAAACATTTACAGATTCATAAATTTGTGGTATAATATGTATACAAATATGATTATACAACATTGAAAATGAACTCATTGTAAAGGATTTCTTCGTTGAACTGATACTATAGTCAGTTAGATGGGGAAAAAGAACACTGTAAATCTTTCAACATTGTACGAGAGATCTGCATAATTCTATGTATGCATATATATATCTATATACAATATACCATTTTATAATTTTGAATATATCATAGTCACGAAACTTACCACTGACATAAATTTATCCATGTCTGATATATATTTATATATATATATGGTAAACGTTTGTGAAACATTTTCAAACTGAAAAATAGTCGGATAACTACAATCTTTTGTAGACAAGTTCTGCTTACTTGTAAAAAGAAACCTTTTACTGTTGTTTAAATTAAAGAGTAATGATAAATATATTGTATATTCATGTCTCAACAAACTATTTTTATTAAAATAATAATAATAAATCTTATGAATAATATTTTATTTTTAACAGAAATAAAGTAGAGTAGAATAACTGTCCTCAGTGTTTTTGTTTAATATTCTCTTTGAATGACTACAAAATGTTATAGTTATTCAGTCTTAACTTAATTATAAGTAAAGATGGATAGTGGCTAGCAGTGGAATCCAGGATGCGCGTTTCGTCCTATTTGGGACTCGTCAGCTGGATGTATTTGCATCTCAGACGCACAGTATGCACATATGCAAATAAGGGACTGATAAATTGCAGTTCTATACATCAATGGGAAGATTCAAACAAATAATACCATGTGAATTTAATTTAATTGTTTAAAAATAATCACTCAAGATAGTAGTGAACTGTTGTGGGAGTAAACAATTCTTTATAGTGTAAAAATTAACAGGTCTCTAACTCTAACAACATCGATCACGCTAGTTTTAGTAGGTTAAACTACCGGAAATTGTATTATAGATTAACTAAACTGGTAGGCATTTAGTCATCTCTAACATATAACATACTTTCAGTCACTTTAATAAACAGTATGGAAGTCTCATCTTTTTTCACTAATGAAAGTAATTAAAATATTATATCTTCATGCTCATATATTTTTCTTTATTTGTTCATCATCTGTTGGGTTATCGCAAATCATCTAAGTATAGTGTTTATGTAGTATGTATTACTTATACGGACAGATATAAGTAGTATGAAACTAGATTGGAAGTAGGAGTCTTACTGACACGAGAGCAACAAAAGAGAAAGCAATAAAAGGTAAAGCAGTCCAAGTAAAAGACAAATCAAGGAAGATATGCGAATGATGTATTTAATGTATTGTTTTCACAGTTTGCAAATGCTAAGTGTGATTTTACATAATGCAATACCCTGTTTAAGTCTTCTTTCGTTACATTTATAGAATAGTGATGTTAATGATGGAAAATGTTGTTACAACAAGTTATTTCCACTGTTATTCATTTGTAATTCACTTCTTGATAAAACATCAGGGAAGTTAAGTAAGGATACATGACCTATGTAATCAACAAAGGTAGTGGTGTTAATTAGCCGCCAACGTTGAAGGGTTAATCATTTCTCAGTCTGAGGTTTCAGGTATTGTCGAATTTCTATTAAATCATGAACCGATCAGTGCTAGGCTATTATTGAAAACCTACGAGCACTTGAAGACCGATTCGTTCTATTATGGGACGGAATCCAAGTCCAGGATCATAACCACACAATGAAAACTATCATGTGCTCATTAGTAACTAGCTTCAAGGAGGAATTCTCAGAGTTCTGATAAGAAACGGTAACCAGTAGAGTTCAACTGTGCCGACAACTTATCTTAACACGGATAACATAAAACTCGGTCATACAAGGTTCATTGTATGTCCTTTACTGCAATTTAATCATGTGATAATTTGTCTTAATGTCCGTATGTGTATCTAATTAGTTATCTGTTTGTTATCTATTTTTAACTAGTTTGTCTTTTATTAGTTGTAAACTCAGGCCATCACTATTTTACTTTCTCATGTAAACATATATGTTGAAATTTAGAGCACATTCTACACAGTAATTTCCTCTGTCCTGTCTCTAGCGTATGGTGATCTGTTGTGTCAGTGACTCAGTAAAAATCGATTCCAACCCAACTCGTGGTTGACTTGGTAATTTATCGAGAGGAAATAAATTTATCTGAATTCTAAGGATTATTCTGTGAATATACACAGGGTTATAAGGTCAATTACATTTACAGTTAGTTAACTAGTAATCCGTTAAATGGTGCAAATCTGAGATCATTTGTTTGAAAACCTACTGCTTCAATCATTAAGTTACAATAAAATTTTAATGTGCAAAGTTTGTCTTCTGAAAAGAATCCATAAACTGTAGTGCCTTTAATGATCATCCAGCTAGTTAATCATATATTTACTGGAATTGTCAAATAAATATTGGGGAATACTAAACAAATAAGAAACGAAGGTTTCCATGTTTTTTTTTTAAAAAATTAATGTCTGAGTTCTTTGATGGGGAGATTTCAATACTTTTGTAGTGTAAGTGATTATTTTAATAATCAATCAAACGTCACTCAAACGTGTTTTTTACTATTTTTATCTTGACATTTATTGAAATATTCATTTTTCAATTAGATTAATATTATTTTATATAGTTGAGATCATGAGTCAATTGAAGCTAAATCATAATAAAAATCCTGGAAGCACTTGACAGACCTTTCGTCATATTGCGGGACTTTTCAGCAATGTGCATCCACAGCCACATTTCGCGAAATAAAAATCCTGGAAGCACTGGACAGCCTTTTTTTGTCGTATTGTGGGACTCTTCAGCAATGTGCATCCACGGCCCCATCTCGCGAAATTCAAACCCAGGTAATATTTACAAAAACTGCACAATTGTATTTATTGGTGATTTAACAAAGGAAAATTGTTTCATACAACTTAGTATCTTAATAAATTTAAACAGACCAAGAAGTTAGACATTATCACTATTGGATGCCGGCTCAGTGGTCTAACGGTTAAGTGCTCTGGCGCGAGACTGGTAGGTCCTGGGTTCGAATCTCGTGAGGTGGGGTCGCGGATGTACACTGCTGAGGACTCCTGCAATAGAACGAAACGGTTGTCTAGTACTTCTAGGTTTTCCATGGTTATCTAGCTTCAATTGACTCACGCTTTCAGCTACGAAAGTATATGTGTGACAAGTATTTTTATTTCTATTCTTCGGTTAATTATATAATTAAGAATGAGATATTATGTATAATTATAATTCATTGTGTAAGCAATAAATATTAGTCGTGAATCATAAATTAACCCTGAATAATTGATTCTTTCCAAAGAAATTTTTTAGAAATGTTACACTGAATACCAACGCTTTTAATTTATAAATAATCATGGGTCAATTGAATCTAGACCACCATGGGAAATCTGGAAGTACTGGATGGCCGTTTCGTCCTAGTAAAAGACTCCTCAGCAGAGCGTATCCATGATCCCGCCGCGCGAGGTTCGGACCCAGGTTTTCCAGGTTTTCCATGATGGTTTAGCTTCAATCGATTCATTATTTCAACTATGAAAATACTGAAATCTCCACAAAACCATTTCTGTTTTATAAATAATCGGTTAAATAAAAGCCAATTTCAATCAGTATATTTTCACTTCATGAAAAAGTTTGTAAGTGTTTTCTTCTTATCTAGATGCCGACAAAAAATTAATTGTAATAGTTTAGAATAAAACAAAATTTAAATACTACTAATGAGTAATAAAAAACAATATTGTATTCTATTTCTAAAGTTAAAAAGTATTCGAGAGTGTAACTGAAGAATTTGAATGATATGAAATGTGACTGGCTTTATTACATAAGAAAAGTATTAAAATTCAATGACCATATCCTAACTGAACTCTGGTTGGTTGGTATCTGTAATATTTGCAACTTCTTACTTTATACTTACCAAATAATATTTAAATGATGTCCAAGTATAACTTGAGTCAATCCACGATACTGATTAACTATCTATGGGATCCAAATTTAGTCGCCTAAAGGTTGGGTGTTGGTGTACGAGTCTGAGTGTACTGGTTTCGATCACCAGTGTCTGAGTCGATGATGCGAAATGCTAAGGAGTCTCATATTAGGACGGAACAGTTATCTCGTGCTTCCAGGTTTTTGATGTTTTTTATCT